CAGTGCCGTTTGTACAAGTCTCACAGTAAAACTGATTAATCTCATACTAACACAACATGTATTTAACAAAACTTATTGTTAGTTATCTTATTCTTTTTGATATTATAAATAAAATTTATTAATTTTATGTTCAGATTTTTTATTGGTAGCTGAAAAAAAGGATAATAGATTTTTAAAATATTAATCTTATATCTTACAACATTGCTGACTTTATTATTTCTACAAGTTTTTGTTTTAGGTGTAGATTCCTTTAGTTTTTGTATATACAAGATTATATTATCTGCAAATGGACATGGCTTACTTCTTCCTTTCTCATTTGTTTTTTGTTTTGTTTTTGTTTTTTGAGAGGTTTTTGCTATAGGGCGCGTGCGCTCGCCAGACAGACAGAGAGAGACAGAGAGACAGAAAGCGAGAAATCACCCCACGGGGGGATGGTCACGTGACAATTCCTTCGCCTCCATTCTCCTCTCGGGATCTTGGGCACGCACGCACACGCGCCCGGCGTGAGTTTTAAGCCACCGGGTCCGGGACACGAATGGCGTTTGACTACGTGGGAGTTCAGTGACATAGCCATTATACTAACTGCTGGTTCCCTCATTTGGGTTTTGTTTTGTGAAAATTTAAGAGGATTATATTGACTTTTTTATATGTTCTTGGAGAAAACCATTCGCATGAAAACGTTTGACATTCGATATGAGATATTATTCACACTTCATTTTATACATAAATTTTTTAAAGAATTATTTTATCTAACTTTATTTACTTATTTATTTATTTTAATTATACTAAAGGGGGAAAGTGAGAGAACAAGTCACCAGGTCTGGGACTTGAACCATTGTCAGCCATGTGGGAGTCCAATACCCTTAACCACCATGCCATAAATTTTTTAATTTGTGGAATAGACATAATTTATTTCTACAGGACTTACACATGATTACAGTCACAAAATTGGCACACTATGTTAAAAAAATAAAACCTAAATCAAACAGCTAGACAAAGAATGCAGTTTTAGGCCCTTTTGAATCTCCACCTGCACCCCCCCCTTCATACATGAGCTGTGAGCTTATTAAAATATTAACCAGAGGATGTCTGAGGTCACAAGTGATTGTTTATAAAATAAAACCTCTTTTCTTAGTGCTGCTTTGTTTTGTATAGAAAAATATTACAAATAAAAATGAGTGCTATCCACGGTGCTCTTTTCGAAATCACGCGTGATACACAGGTTCAGGCCGTCTGTTCCTCTCACATGGAGACAGCGCGACGCCCTGTGTGAGGACGACTCACTGACAATGTCCCTTGCCCACCACGACCAGCTCAGGAATGGCAGACTGCCTACTACGCTGACTGACTACACATGAGAGAGAGTTCAAACAGCTCAGGTATTGGGTACACTCGTAATTTGGCTCTATTCGACACTCTGAAAAACTGTTAGAGAAATAAGACAACATTGTTATGTCTTCCCGATACAAGACATTTGTCTAAAAATCTGTGATTATACAAAACAGATTTGCCTTTTATAAAGAAATGGCTAATTTTTTCATGGTTGGATAATTCTAATTTTAACTCAAACCCTCTCTTCCCGGAGGGTGGAGGAGAGGTTAAGTACCACCGGGTCTAGTCTACAATCACAGGGCTGTTTCCCAGAGGGCAGAGCGTGACGGCAATCTGTCAAACTAATAGCTTCCATTCTTGCGATTATGTAAATTTTAAAGAGAAGTCTCTCGTAAGCTATATACAGCAGTTTCTATTTCAGTGTTTCTTTTTCACTTGATATACAATTAAAATTAATTCATGACAAATACTTGTCACAGAAATCTATGCAGGCACGTATAAATCCTATGGCTTTACTGGAGAGGTGAGGGCTTCAGTGGGATCACGATTCTGGATTCCGTTTCCTGAACAGGTGGGACCATGTAATAGACCAGGTCTTCCCAGCCATGTTATGCCACGCTGCATTCCGTATGTCTTCCCGGGTCTGACGATCCCTGTAAACCCAAAGCTGGTACACTGTAGACAGCGGCCCATCTGAGAGAAGAACCCGCCCCTGCTTCATTACTGTCCTGCCTGAAGCGAACAGCACAAGCCCAGGAACTGGCCCATTCGATCATGGCTCCTGGCCGGAGCTGGTGAGACCTGAGCTCATATACATTCGGTCCTGACCATGCGACGGGCTCATTCCAGAAACTGAACACCAGGAGCAGCTGATTCTTTCTGGAGAGAAGCGTGTTGCTCCTTGCTTTACGAAATCCTGTAAATTCCTGATTTTCTTTGAGTTTATTCATGAACTCTGTGAGGGCTAGCTGGACTCCTTCTTACCTCCAGACGTGGACAGCTTGATCTTGCTCACCATACCGCGTGGTCCAAGTCCCCACCAAGTACAAAGATTATCTTCATTAATCTTTGACAACACCTCTTGACAAATTATAGCATACAAAGTGAATTTTACCAGTATGAATCCACTGTACATTAGAAAGATAATTTTTCATTTTTGTGCCCTTCAATGTTTTGCTTCTTTTTTTCCCTTGATTCCTTCCTCCCACCTAACCCCCCACTCCCCACCCTCCTCCCACACCGTCTCTAGAATCTACAGTTGCTCTCCTTGGTTTTATAATTTCTAATCATTCAGTTGTGGCAGAACTTTTGAACATACTGATCGTAGCTACTTTAGATCATGTCTGATCATGCCGTTTTCTGAATCATCTATGTATCTGTTTCTATTGTTGCTGCCCGCCCCGCCCCCGTTGGGGATCATTTGGTACCATTTCCTGGACTACCTTGTGATATGAATTGCATTGTGTGTAAAAACATTTAGTGGCCTTAGGTGATGCTCACTTTTTCCAGATAGGTTTTAGTTTTCTTCTAATAGAACTGTAGCATGTATACAGATCCTCGGTATGCAATTAAGGCGGAACTATTTCTAATATTTTTTCCCAAGCCATCTCCTTTCCTGAGTAACTGAGGACTCACCAGAGCCCATCATTCTTGCCGGGCCTCGAACTCCAACTTTTCCCTCAGCACTGTAAAACTGCCAAAAATCTCATCTTAGCTTTTTAGGTACGTTCTGTTAGGTTTCTTGACATGCTACTCACTTTCAATGACTTGGTAAATTATTTGAGGAGAAATCACGTGGGGAATTTCAGTGCGTTTTTCTTTTCTCAATATTACAATATTACTTGATTGCTCTTTCACATAGTTTTCTCCCCCTACTTTATTTATTTTTTTTCAGTCTGATGCCAGCAACTCTATCATAGCCTGAAATGGAAATTCCTTCCCCACTTTTTGTTTTACAAAACTGAGATTCACTTACATTTAAAATGTTATGAAATAGTTTGACCTGGTGGTTAAGGGAGCTTGATCCCACATGGCTGACTGCAGAGTCCCAGACCCTGTGACTTGATAAACACGTGGGTGCATGTGCATGCTTGCCTATCGTCCCCAAACAAGGGAGACATGGAGAAGGGATTGTGGCATGACCATGACCCGATGGGGGCACTTTTCTCCTCTCTCCTTCTTTTTTTCCCTTGATTCCTTCCTCCCACCTAACCCCCCACTCCCCACCCTCCTCCCACACCGTCTCTAGAATCTACAGTTGCTCTCCTTGGTTTTATAATTTCTAATCATTCAGTTGTGGCAGAACTTTTGAACATACTGATCGTAGCTACTTTAGATCATGTCTGATCATGCCGTTTTCTGAATCATCTATGTATCTGTTTCTATTGTTGCTGCCCGCCCCGCCCCCGTTGGGGATCATTTGGTACCATTTCCTGGACTACCTTGTGATATGAATTGCATTGTGTGTAAAAACATTTAGTGGCCTTAGGTGATGCTCACTTTTTCCAGATAGGTTTTAGTTTTCTTCTAATAGAACTGTAGCATGTATACAGATCCTCGGTATGCAATTAAGGCGGAACTATTTCTAATATTTTTTCCCAAGCCATCTCCTTTCCTGAGTAACTGAGGACTCACCAGAGCCCATCATTCTTGCCGGGCCTCGAACTCCAACTTTTCCCTCAGCACTGTAAAACTGCCAAAAATCTCATCTTAGCTTTTTAGGTACGTTCTGTTAGGTTTCTTGACATGCTACTCACTTTCAATGACTTGGTAAATTATTTGAGGAGAAATCACGTGGGGAATTTCAGTGCGTTTTTCTTTTCTCAATATTACAATATTACTTGATTGCTCTTTCACATAGTTTTCTCCCCCTACTTTATTTATTTTTTTTCAGTCTGATGCCAGCAACTCTATCATAGCCTGAAATGGAAATTCCTTCCCCACTTTTTGTTTTACAAAACTGAGATTCACTTACATTTAAAATGTTATGAAATAGTTTGACCTGGTGGTTAAGGGAGCTTGATCCCACATGGCTGACTGCAGAGTCCCAGACCCTGTGACTTGATAAACACGTGGGTGCATGTGCATGCTTGCCTATCGTCCCCAAACAAGGGAGACATGGAGAAGGGATTGTGGCATGACCATGACCCGATGGGGGCACTTTTCTCCTCTCTCTCTCTCTCTTTCTGTCTCTCTGTCTCTTTAGCGCAAAGGCATGTACCCTCTAGCAAAAAAAAAGAAAAGGAAGAAAAAAATTGATGTTCATCATCCCATGAATTATTTATACGTGTATGACATGTACATGTTCACCGAGACAATATGCAGAATTGTTTTGTATTGTTTTCAGATAGTGTTATTATGTGTATGCTTTTCTCAAACACTTTTTTCACTTCACCTTTTGTTTGTGAGATACACTTGCTTTGTGTGGGTAGCAGTGAGTTACTCATTGTCACGACAAGTGATCATGTCACAATTTATTTTTCCATTCTCCTGGCGAGGAATATTTAGACTGCTTCCAATGTTTCCCTGTTAAAATCATGCTGCTATAAACATCTCTGTGTGTCTTGAACACATGGAAGTTTCCGTGGCAGGGGCCGTGGGGCTGAAACAGCTGGGTCTGGGAGAAGGCACTTGCCCATGCTTATTAGATCATGCAAACTATTTTCCAGACTAATTGGATTAATTTACGTTTCCACTGGCTCTGAATGAGACTTCGCTTTGTACTTCTCAGCCACCTAGGATGCTGTCAGACTTTTCGTCTTTGCCAATCTGATAAAAGTAAAATGGTATGTTGCTGTGGTTTCTATTTGCATGTCTCTGTTGACTGTGAAATTAAGCATTTTATAATCTCCGGAGCACTTACTTCAGTCTAATTTCCAACCCCCAAGCTTCTCCACTTCCCCAGTATCTCCTGAAACATGGCCAACTTTCAGTCTGAGTTACCACAACCCCCAAATTATGTCAGCCCCAGAGCCCGGTGAATGAACACTTCTGCAGGGCTCCGCATGCAAGTGATACTCAGTGCTCACAGCAAACCTGCAGCAAGATTCATGACCCCCATTGCAGGATAAGAAAACAGAATCAGAGGGGTTAGGCAACTCGCCACGGACACACAGCAGGCACCGGGCAGACTTTGCATCACTGCTCTTCAGTGGGAGACTGAATGTAGGTTCAGGGTGTGCAGGGCTCCTGTGGCAGAGAGGTTCTTAGGGGCCTCTGTCTTTGCAGGAAATGCACCTGCTGGTCTGATCTGCCTCTGGAGAGTACGTTGCTGTTGCCCACAGGAGTTTATTGGCCCGAGTGGGAAAACCCATGCAGGATGGATTCAGAGTGGAGTGCAGTGGGAAGGGAGGAGTCCCCACTCAGTGCTGTGGAAGCACTAGGAGGCATGGATGGAGGCTTCACCAACCAACGCAGACGTTTCCCAGAAGCAAGCAGCGTATTTTAGATGGTGTTAAATATCCCCACAGCCTCTAGCGAGAGTTACAGCCCTTCTCAGACTTCTTTCACTCTGGTGATGAGGAGGCAAGTCTCGGTTTGTGCTAGCATGTCTGAAACTACTCTTTAAACCCCCTTTTAAAGGTAAACTAGATCTCCAACTCTTAGATGCCTGGCAAGTAGTAATGCCTTGGTAAAATTTAACCACTATTTTTTATCCTTGTATTTCTTTCTTTCTTTTTTTTTTTTTTATGTTTATTCATTTGCTTTTTCTGTGAGACAGGCAGACAGGTACCTCCAAAATGGTCTTTGCACTGTGACTCACCCCCAGGTCCCAGGCACGGCCATGCATGCCTGGCACGCTGCAGGAGTCCCAGGGCCTTCTCTGGTAGGTCCACTGTGTTACCGCTGCACCACCACCTGGACTTTCTTATATTCGTGGTATTTTTTTTTTTTTAGTCTTCTTTTCTAAAGAATTATTTGATTTATTAATTTATTGATATTATTTTTAGTTTAAATTTGATAAGAAAAAGACAGAGAGAGAGCGGGAAATTGAGAAAGCAAGCCACCAGGTCTCGGACTCAAACACAGGTTTTGTGGAAGTCCAGCATCCTAACCACCAGGCCATCTGCTGGCCCCTCCTTGTATTAGTTTTATGGTGAGTTGTTTTGTTTAAGAAATCTTATACAGCCTCTACCAGGCACTATTTTAAACACTTTAAAAATATCAGCTGATTTGGTTCTCCCAAGGACCCTGTGAGGCTGGCACTGTTATAATCCCCATTTTACAGTTGAAGACCTTGAGGTCCAGAAAGGTCCAGTGCACTACCTGAGGTCACATAGCCTGTAAGTGGCAGTGCTGGGATTTGAACTGAGGCAGGCCAGGGCCATCAAGTGCTTTAACCCATGTGGTACACACCACCTCCCCATTCCACACTCATGACCTTTTGAGGGTAGTGATATAGTATTTTCTGTTCATACATGTTTATTGGAATAGAAAATGGGAGACAAGGTAAAGAAAAATAGCAAATTACGAATAGCACCCTTGAAAACAATGAGCAAGTGGCAGGAGTCCTGGGTACTTCGTGTGGCTTCAGGGATAGAGCAGGAGAACTATGAAGGCTGGGTTTAGAGGATGAGCGGGAAAAGGCGTTCAAGGACAGGACTCAACTTGTGCAAAGGCAGAGATGCCTGACGGGGCCTGGGATGTGAGGGAGGTGATGAGTACCTCCACATCGCTGCCCAGTACTAGCAGGAGCCCCGCGCCCTGGCGTAGCACGCACGTTGCAGTTCACCAGGCACTGGCATGACTTTTCTCACTGCCTCTTAGCTGCCAGGTGCAGAGGGCATTCTGGTCTCCATTTTCCTGAGGCTGGAGAAGAGCCACTGTTCGTTTCAAGAGTCTCTGGCCCTTTCCTCCACAGTATCAGGCATCTTTTGTAACAAGCGATGGAAATAGAATTCGACATAGTTGGGCAGAACAGATGTGTTTTGGCTTACGTCAATGAAAAGTCCAGATGTGGAGATCAGATGTGGCTCCGTCCAGGTCCTCAAAGACGGCCTTGGGAGTGCTGAATCTGTGTTTCTTAGTATTTTCACACTAAGGTAGGCTTTCTCTAGGAAGTGACAAAGGTGGCTACAAGCTTCTTGCAGGTACCAAAAACAAAGGACCTCTCTGCTGGAGTTCCAGGAGAAAATTCCAGGACTGCTCTCATTGGCTTGGCCTGGCATGATGCCCACCCCTGATCCAATCTCTGTGGCCAGTAGGGGGGATTCTTTGATTGGCTAGGCCTGGGTCAGGTGCCCACCCCATGGAGCAGTCGTGGGATCAGTTCCACCCAAACCACCTAGAGAGCTTCAGGTCAAGCAACTCTTTGCAAGGGGGAGGAAGAGCCACCAGGCAGACCGAAGCGACAAGTGGGGTCTGCAACGTACACAGTGCTAAGGAATCTGGAGGGGTGAGTTTTAGACCTGGGCAGAGGAGTTGGTACTTTTTCTTTGGTGGAGATAGAGCCATTGGAGAGTGACATGGACAGAGCTAGACAGGCCTAGTGCTGGGGCTGGTGTCACCACATGGTAGTGAGGGAGGAGACAGATTCACCCCGTTGTGACCAGAGGCTGCATCTTTAAAGTGTAATGTCAGGGTTCTTATGGGATGGGGGCTGAGAGGCCAGTGTTTCTTTTTTTTTTTTTTAAATCCAGGTGCATTTTTTAAAAATCATTTATTTAATTTTATTTATTCATTCATTTATTTTAATTTGACCAGAGAGAGACACAGGGAGAGAGAGCGAGAGATGGAAAGCGAGACAGCAAGCCACCAGATCCAGGACTCGAACCATGGTCAGCCATGTGGGAGTGTCCAGCACCTTAACCACCACGCCACCTGCTGGTCCCCTGAGGCCAGTGTTTCTTAAAGCGAGTTTTTAAATTTTAGTTTGTTTATTTCTTTAATGAGCAAGAGATAGAGGCACAGAGGGAAATAAACAGAAAGACAACACCTCAGACAGGGTCTTGATGCCATGATCCACTCCTGGTCTCAGCTAGCCCTAGGGCATGGGCACTCAGGGAGATCTCTGTTAGCAAACTGGGGTCCTTTCTGTGGGTCAGAATCACAGAGCATGTGTTTTACTGCTTTGCTGGTGTGCAGCCCCATAAAACAGGTTTAAATGGTATCTGCCGAATGTTATTTTACTTTTATAGTGATATTATTTAAAGTATGTTAAAAAGATAAACAAGCATGAAGCATGGATGTTATTACTCAGGATGAGGTTAAAGTTAAATTTTTAAATGAGGGGTCAGCAGGTAACGTGGTGAAGGCGCTGGACTCCCACATGGCCAGATGAGGTTCAAATTCCAGACCCAGCAGTTTGCTTTCTCACTTTCTCTCACTCTCTGGTGAGTGCATGTGCCCTATAGCAAATTTTAAAATAATAATTAAATTAAATTAATAGTTCTTTTTTTTTTTTTTTTGGAGAGGTTTTCGCTATAGGGCACATGCGCTCGC